GCCCCAATTCTTTATCTAAATCTTTATAGTGTTAGTTCATGTCTGTATCTTTTTAAAAATATAATTTTATTATTACTGTTTTATGTGGCACTGAGGAATCAAACCCAGGGCTTCATGAATACGAGGCAAGCACTCTACCACCAAGTCACACTTGTATCTTGAAGATGGGCTGAAGTGCATTCTTTGCCTCTTCCACAGGTTTCCATGCCTTGTATAAATCTCCTTTCTCTGTGTTTCATGTTATTCACCTACTTGTTTGATGCAATTGGTGGGAATGGCCAGACCTGACATGGGGAGCCGCTGGAGATAGGCCTCTCCCCTAGAACTCTGTTACTTGCTGGCTTTGTTGCCTGCCTGCGGACATTCTGCGTTTCTGGCTTTTCTAACTTCCTTGGGTCTCAACTGTAGCTTAGGCTGCAGTTTTACTTATTGATTCAGGAGTTACAATCCTGCAGGAATCCTGACTGTGGTATACAGCACCTGGCCTCTCAGGCCTGTATTTGAAATCTGGGTAGAAGCCCTGTGATCCCTGTAACTCTGACAGTCTGTGTGGCTGAGTAACTGGCAGGGCCATGGCTGCAGCAGCCTCTGATTGCCTGCATGACGGAACTCTGGGATGGCTGAACATGGGGAAATGCTTCCCTAGCTGCTCAGTCCAAGCAGGGCACCCTTAGGTGATCTCTTTCCAAAAGTAGTCTTTAAAATAATGAGTTAAGCTGAGTGCCCATGACTCTTGCTTGTAATTCTAGCTATTCAGGAGTCTGAGATGTGCCTATCATGGTTCAAAGCTAGCCCAGGCAGGAAAGTCTGAGACTCCTAACTCCACTAAACTAACAACAAAGTTGGAAGTGGAGATAGGGCTCAAATGGTAGAGCCTTAGCTTTGAGCAAAATGTAAGTCTAGGCCAGAGCCCAGGCCCTGAGTTCAAGCCCCAGGACTGGCTGGCATATACACATACACACACACACACTAATAAGTTAAAAATATTTACACCCACCGGGCACCGGTTGCTCACGCCTGTAATCCTAGCTACTCAGGAGGCTGAGATCTGAGGACCACAGTTCAGAGTTCCAGGCAGGAAAGTCCTTGAGACTCTCATCTCCAATAAACCACCAGAAAACTGGAAGTGGCACTGTGGCTCAAGTGGTAGAGTGCTGAAGAGCTGAGGGACAGCGGCCAGGTCCAGAGTTTAAGCCCCACAACTGACACACACAAAAAAATCTTTACACCTCAAGCCTGCCATGGTGGGCTCTGAGATGCTCTCAAAAATCTTTCCTATTGTCCAATGCAAAGTACTTGGCTTTGTTCTAATGGCCCTAATCTCTTTAGCAACCACACACCTTTCTTAGCTCCAATTTTACATAGGTTTTCTGGCCCAACTCTTTCTTCTCTGCATTTTGCTCCTAGTTCTCATTCTAAATCTGGCCCTGCCCAGATTCCAAGATGGCTGCAAATTAGCTGTAGGAGGAATGGCTCAGGACAAGGACAGAGATACAAAATGAAGGAGTCTGGGATGCCTAGCCTTTATCCAATCATTTCCTCAAAGCCCATCAGCTGCCATCAAGCTCCCCAATAGATAAGTCTGTGTGGGGTGGGGTTAGAGGGAAGGTATTTCATATTCAAACCAATGTACACCATGTATTACAGACACAAAATTCCCCTGGACAGTAACAAGCACAGAGGGGGCTGCGAAGGTTAGGGCAGAGGAAAGCTCACCAGAGACTCCAGCAGCCCCATGGGCCAGTCTGTTTGTCCTCACAGCCTCTGCCTCTCTGACCAGGGGATCTGGTAAGGCCAGTAAGAAGCAGACTACTCAGGATGTGCTATGCACTCTTTGCTGTGTGTGAGCTCATTTATTCACTGAACAAACAGGAATTCTCTTCTTGATCCTGTGCTTGGCACCAGGAATCAAGGTAGACGAGAGTCAGCCTACTTGCTTTCTGGACCACAATTTCAGACCAGAAGTCAAAAGAAAATTATAGGGCTGGGAAGGTGGCTCAGTGATAGAGTGCTTGCCTTGCATGCTTGAGGCCCTGGGTTCAATTCCTCAGCACCACATAAGCAGAAAAAACCAGAAGTGGCGCTGTGCCTCAAGTGGTAGAGTGCTAATCTTGAGCTGAAGAGCTGAGGGACAGTGACCAGACCCAGAGTTCAGGCCCCACAACCAACCAAAAAAGAAAGAAAATTGTAATCAGGTGTAGGGTAGAGGGGAACATTCAGAGAATGCTTCCCAGAAGATGTGTCTTTGAACTAAGATCTAAACTAGGAATATGAGTTAGCCAGGCAGAGTTAGGGAACAATGATACAGCCATTTGCTTTGAATGGAGGTTCCCCCATAATCCCTACATTTTCCAGAGGGCACTGAGGTAGTCATTACCTGCACTGTCTCCACCAGTAGGTGGCAGTGTCGAGTCCAGAATCTAGATCTGAGCCCAGTTGTGAACCTCTGCTTTTCTCACAAGACCCCACATCAACTCTTCAGCTTGTAGCTGGGCCTAAAGTCCCTGGCCTCATAAGTCTGCCCAGACTTCCTTCACTGAGAACATCCTGAGCGGGTTCAGTCCACTGGATAGGATGGGTAGTGCCTGACTGGGCGAGGCAAGGCATCCTGGTGCCTGGGGAAGGCGGTAGTTAGGGCTGAGGGGAAGCCAAATGCAATAAAAAGGCTGGATTCTTTGTCTTGGGGAGATAAGCAAGTCCAAAGCTCAGAGCACCCTGGGATTCGTGCCATGCATCAGGCTCGTAAATTCCCATCCCCTGCCTGCCTTTCAGAACTCTCAGCAAGAGAAAAAGGGTGTGAGAGGTGGGTGTGTCTCTCCCCCCACCCCAAATTCCATGCACATGAGCTGGTGTCCGTGGGCTTGGGGATCCAGACAAAGCCCGTACAAAACAAAGAAGGATCCTTTTGTTGGGGGGAAAATATCCCTCCTACCAGAGAGGAAAATTGAATCCAGGTTTCCCTGAGGCTTTCTCTGCCTCCAGCATGACATTTATGAGCAGAAAAACCCTAAATAAGATAATTTTAGGGAAGGAGTCTTCATTCATGAACTAAGGACTATAAAACCCCTTCCTCCATGGTGGATGGGATCCTTGCAAGTCTATACTCGTGTGACTCTGTGGACCCAAGATTGAGGAGAAAGAGTGCTTTGGTTAATGTGTTTGTTCCCCATTTCCAAATTCAAGTTAGAGCATACATTTGGTCTCTAGCCTTTAGCCTGCTCATTTGTAAGGTTGAGCAGGTTTCCAAGGGAATTAAAACTTCTAGCTGCCCAATTTAGCTTACACCAAAGTCATCAAAATGTGGCTTCAAGGACCCAAGAGCACAAGGGTTTGCACACTCAACTGGAAGCCAAGACAAGTTAACACAATGTTTTCTTCCTGCCCTGGATGGCGAAGGGAAATCTGATGACCCAGAATGGGCCCTGGGGTTGGACGGGGCTGACCAGGCCTCCTCTGCCTCCATGTAACCTCCCCAGATCACCGGAGTCAAGCCCAATTAGCTCCTGCCAGGAAAGGGGCAAGGCTAACCAGTGCAAACCAGAAAAGACACAGCACCAGGCTGTCCTGGGGTCAAGTTTCAAAGGTTTCAAGGTGTTTTCCCAAACAACAGTGGTTTCCATAGCAGCCAAGCCCAGGTACAGATAAAAGTAGCCCTCAACCCACGGCCCAGTAGATGTCCCAGGCAGCTGTGGCCTTTAGAGAAGACTGGGCTCCACGTGAAGCCATCCCCAGGCCCATGCAGGAGGCCACCAGGTGCCAGCAGTCAGGACCCTGCCTTGGGCAAGGGGAATCAGCAACGGGTGCTGGTCCCAGAAGCAACAGAAAACACAGCAAGGTTCCTTCGGCTCAGCACTCAAGAGAGGTGGAGTGACTTCCTGAGGCTCCCACAGCGCATTGAAACTCTGATACCAATGTCAAATTCCATGCCGTGCACATACAAATACCACCGCCTCCAACCAACCCAGTGAGGCCTGGTGGAAAGATCAAGGCCCGTGCCCTGGGTGCCTGAATGGACCTGCCTGGCCCCACTCTGCCAGGAACCCTGGACAGTCCTTCAAGGGACTGTGTCCACCCGCAGCAGAAAACAAATCATCCTGATCCATAGCCAAGTGTCACAAGAAAGCAGGATTTTGCATCCCTGCCTGCCTTCTCTGTCCCCTACCCCAGACAGCAGGGCTTCATGGGGCTCTAGCAACCTCTTCCATGCCCTTGGTGGTGGGACCAGAGGCAGAACTCCTGCTCTGGGGTCCAAAAGGCAGGCTCTAGGACCTGTGTCCAAGCGAGCGCTGGGTCAACAGGGATTTGACTGTACCTGTTGGTTTTTGCCATCCTTCCAAATGGGGTCTGGGGATGCTGTGAGGAGGAGCCAGTGCCAGGAATATCCTAAGCTCTCAGCTGCCAGAAGCTCCTCTGGGCAGAGAGGAGAGGAGGGGCAGACAGCCTTGCTCATCAAGATGGTGGGAAGACTGGTGATAGGTTCCTGATCGACAAGGCTGAGACGGGACACAGACTGGGCTACCCAGTGAGAGCTGGTCTCAAAAGGAAAAGGCACAGCTGTGAAACTTGGGAGGGCTTCACCTGTGATGATGGTGTTGGGGCTGACAGAGCTGCCTCTGTCTGGTGCACTGGCCTCACCCTGCGAACAGAGGATAGGCTCAGTGTCACAGCAAGCGGCTTGCTCGCGTCATCACAGCCAGGGCTTAGGAGAGCTGGTTAGTGTTCAGACCATTGATCCAAAAAGACACCAGCCAGCTGGGTGCCACTGGTCATACCTCTGTACTCAGGAGGATGAGATGCACCTATTGTAGTTTGAAGTCAGCCCCAGCAGGAAGGCTCATGAAACTCTTATCTCCAATCAACTACCAAAAAAGCCACCAGTAGAGCTGCGGCTCGAGGGGTAGAGCGCTAGCTTTTCATCACAAAATGTTTAGAGACGGTGCCCAGTCCCTGAGTTTAAGCGCCAGGACTGGCATGCACATACATCACTAGAGAACACCAACAACTTTATGAAGCACACATTTTATTTAATAAGTTATACGATACAATTTACAGTCGGCATTTGATTCCAGTTTGGCTTCCATATCCCAGTTTACAACCTCGCAGTCCTTCCCTGGTGGGCTTTGGTGCCTGGCCTCAGAGCCGGGGTGGGCACCTCGCCCCTGCCCGATCTGGGACCACAACAGCCACCTGCTCAGGGCTCAGCAGCAAATCAGAATGTCTACCCATCAGACCACACGATGCCGCAGGGGGAAAGTCTTCCGTTGCTTTAACTTTGCCCTCAAGCCGGCTAGGGTCTGAGGGAAGCCTTGGAAAATGCCCTGCACCCGCTGTGGGAGGCCCACCTGTGAGCCGCTTCCCCAGCAGCCCCGGATGATGCCGGGTCGTTGTCAAAGCGTGACCACGGGCAGCTCCACAGCTGTGGCTGTTTTTGCCAAATGGTAAAGAGATCACCAATGAACCGCTCCCCCCCACCCCCCAGTTCCCTTTCAGGCCAAATGCCAGCGAGAAGTTCATTCTTTCCTATATTAAAAAAAATAATAATTGTTTTCCAGAAACAGCAACTCAGGAGGCTGGCTGGGATGTGTGCTCTGACAATGGACAGGGTTCATCACACAGAACCCATCTGAGATCTCTTATAGGCTTTGGTAAGACTTGCCAGGCTGCAGAACAGCTGGGGCATGTGTGTTAAAAAAAAAAAAAGGCTAGTGTGTTAGGAAGGATCTTTGGCAAGTGGCTGCTGCTTCCCCCTGCACACAACTTCCTTGGCTAAGGAATGGAGACACGGAAACAGACCTGGAAACAAAAGCAGACATACGGCTGCCAATAGTCCCTCTGACTGCAAGGGAATGATCAGCAGAAGCAGGGCAGAGGTATGGGGAAGCCATCTGTCACTGGCACACTCCACCCGTGAGGAAATGTCAGAAGGCCAGGGTGCATGATGATGGATCGGGCAGGGTACGAGGCAAGCGGGGGCGATGTGTCAGATGGCAACCACGGGACAGGCTTTGCTTCACAGAATCCAGGCCCTGGACTAGATCAGGCTGCTTTTAAGCCATCTCCTTTGCTAAAAGACAACCTAAATGAGGGCTCCTCTTTTCCTCTGCCTCTCGCCACCCCCGAGTCTTGTTTGAGAAATGTTCAAGAGAGAACCAGTAGTGTGGGCTAGCCAGCATCACTGTGGAAGTGGGTCTTGCTGGTATTCTTGTCTGTCTGCAGTGAATGTGCCAAGGGCCCATTTGGATGGGTCTGCATGGCTTGCAACTTTCCACCGCAGCCCTCAAGAGGCAAGTCTAGAACGGACTTTGGAAAGCACCTCGAATGGGCAATGTGTGGGGATGGGGTTTCAGAGCCACCAAGAGGCCGAGGACACTGTATAAAAACGAATTTACAAACAAGCCACAAAAGCAACCACAAGAATGATGCCCCCCCCGGGATTGCACACAAACTGGTTTAAGGCACTGTGACATGAAAGGGGCTGCCGGGAATGTGCTCCTCCCCCCACTTCACAGCCAGAACGTAATCCCCCCTCTCCTTGACCACGTATGTGACGTTATACTGCTGGTTGCCCACATGTTTCATGGAGACCTCTTCGCAGGGGGTGGTGGGCCCATGGACCCCGATCAGCAACATGTTGGAACCTGGAGGCAGAAGAAAACTCTGTTACTTGGTGTGACTGTATCAGGTGGACCGGGAGGGAGAGACTAGGAACTATTGGTTGAGCTCTTGCGATGATGCTGGGACCCCTTGGCAGGTGCCTGTGGTGGGGTTCAGATCCCTGCCCTGCCACTTCTTGCCTGGTTGACCTTGGATGTGGAGCTCACCTTTCCCCACCAGCAACCCTGGAGGACAACAGCGCCTCATGTGGCCACAGAAGTTACCAAGCTAAGCTCTTACTTAGCTCATAACAAGTGCTACAGCGTGTTGGCTGTTACGGTTTTTTCATTAATTCCTATGAGAAACTTAAAGAAGGCATTAGGATCCCCGCTTGGGATGAAGAGAAATTGACTTTTAGGAGATTAAATAACTGGCTTGGAGTCACTGGCCTGACAAGCTTTGTGAATGGATGGACGCATGGATGAATGGAGTAAAAGAGCTGGTTTTCCAACAGATGAATAAGTGAATAAACAAGGGAAGGAAGGAGCTGGGTTTCTAACCCTTATGTGTGGGATGCCAGAACTAGGCAACTGTGGCTACCGTTATGATACCCAAGTTCAAGTCACACTTTGAGCCATTACCTGAGAGAGAGAAGGGCCAGGGTAACCAATTCAGCTTTGCCATCGGTAATGAGGCCTTGTAACTTTCCTAACTCACTATGGGGGCCTCAGTGAAAGGATCGAGGCAACATGAGAGGCAAATCATTTTCAAATATTGAGGGCAGGGTAAGAAGCGTGGTTACTTCCAAATAGCTGGAAGATGTGTGTGTGTGTGTGTGTGTACACACATACACTGAAGAAAGTCTTGACCTGGGAGGTGAGGGCAGATGAGAGTCCCGGCCTTCCCTGGCCCGCACACCCACATCAGCCCAGCAGGTCTGAGTGCCTACCAGCTTTGCTGCAGTCCACCAGGAAGGAGCTCTTCTGGCCCACAAAGGCCTTTGAGAGCCCTGCCCCCTTGGAGGTCACCTTGCTGGCATCCGAGGACGACTTGGGGATGGCACTATAGCAGGTCTCTGTTGAGGATCTGGTCACAGATTCCACCAGGATAGATGAGGTCTCGTTGGCTGAGCCTGGGCTGACCAGACGCTGGCCTAGGATATGGGAAAAGGCAGGCATGAATGGCCACACTAAAGGCCTCAGCTAGAGGATGGCTGAGTGCCCCATGCACAAGTTCCCATGTCCCAACGCCTAGATACAAAAGCCACTGTGTCTGTAGCTCACATGCTCCTTTTCTTTTCTTTCTTTAGTGCTGGAGATTGAACCCAGGACCTTGCACATGTGAGACAAGAACTCTACCCACTGAGCTATGTCCTTAGTCCTGAGACATGGCTTCAGATAAACCTTGAACTTGCTATGCAGGCCCAGGTTGGCCACAAATATGCCATCCTCTTCCCTCTGATTCCCATGTGCTGGGATTACAGGCATGTGCTATCATGCTCAGCTTACTCATAATTTTTTTCCAAACTTCCTAGGGTATGATTTTCTGGGCCAATGGGCCAGTATGGCCTAGGCTGACAAGGCCTAGAAATTCCTCCCATCTAAAGACACACAATGCTGTAGAACTGACATCTTTTCACTAATGTAAACTGTTCATAGGAGTAGTACTAACATCTCAGAAGACAAAATAAAAAAATACCATGCTGGTTATGTATGCATGTGAGAATTCTTCTGAGTTTTCTAATTTTTCTGGGCTGAACTACGTATGAATCCTGGCTCATGGAAGAGATTTAGCACATATTTACGGAGATGGTCTTGGGTGAGGACTGTGAAGTCCTCTTTTACGTGTGTGTCATTTCCCAGGATTTTAAGGGAAGCATATACTTACAAATTGAATAGCACATTTTGATTATTTCAAAAGTGAAAGTTAGAAATGAAAGGATCTTATGAAGCAGTGGAGTGGGTTACTCTGACCAAAAAGTAATAAATGTACTCCTAAAACACCCCAGTGGAACCTCTTGGTGTCATTAACAGACATTTTAAGAAAATGGCAGAAAAATAAAACAGGCTCTGTTGCGGGGGGGGGGGGGGGGGAATTGGAGAGGAGAGGGGGGGGGGCAGGGAAGCTGACAGAGAGGGTTAATGAGGATGAACATGATTGAAGCAGTTGAGTTGGCATGTGTGAAAACAGAACTATGAAACCTATAGAAATTGTTTTAAGAAGGAAGAGTGGGAAGGCAGAGAGTGATAGAGTGGGTAAGGAAGGTATGTTGTCTGAGTGTATGGGAATGCCACAAACAGTGTTTGCTAATTAAAAAAAGATCAAGATTTTTTTTTTTTAGGTCCTAGTTAAACAAATACATAAGGTGACAAACATGCAAATGTTTCTTCTTTTTTTGTCAGAGACAGAACACCATCTAACATCTTTTGTGGGCGGATGGTACTGGAGTTTCAGCTCAGGGCCTTGAGTTTACTAGGAGGGCACCAAGCCACACCTCCAGGCCTCTTTTGTACTGGTATTCTTTGCAATGGGGTCTTAATTCCTGCTTGTACTGCCGTCTGCCTGGTTAGCTGGGATGACAGGCATCTGCCACTGTGCTAGCTATGGGTTCAAGAGGGGAGGTTTTTGTGAACTTTTCTGCCCAGGCTTCATACCATGATCCTCCCATCTCAGCCTTCCAAGTAGCTAGGATTGCAGGTATAAGCCACTGGTAACTGGTTTAGTATTCTTTCTCAGTTTACACATCCTCACTCTGGGAATATATTACTACAAGTTTTGAACAGTGCGGCTTCTGACATGCCATTTTTTTCCCCCATTCAAGTTTCAAAGTAGATTCAACATATCAAAAATCAGCTGTAGTTTCTACTGTTGTTAATTCGATAAGACCAGTTCCATGGGGTAGAGTAAAAATCCCTCAGGTGGCTCATGGTTACCTGTCACTTTGGCCTTGAAGGGACTGCCCATGATGTGGTTGGGCCCACCATATTTGACACTGATCAGGTAGTTTCCAGGGGCCATGGGTGTGTACATGACCTTGTACCCTTCTGGGGTTTCCTGGCAATCCATTTTGACCTTAGATGGGCCTTCAATGGTGACGGATAAGGTCCCTGGGCCTGCCCGGGTGGTGTTGATGAAGAATTCAGACTGGATGCCTGGGAGAGAGAAGATGGAATGCATGTGGATGGTTTAAAGGGAGCAGGGGAATGACTGGGTGGCGGCTTGAGGGAGAGGAAGCAGTGGAGTTGCACACTCACGCACTTACACACACACACACACACACACACAATCCCTTCATGGGGCACTTGCCTTGGTGGCATGGGAACCCACTTGCACTAACTCTGAGCTAGTGGGGGCTGTGGGGTGGTAACTCCCTTTCCCGGCCTGGGGCAGGAGTATTGCTGACATTTCGCCCACCGGCACTGGGTGCTTGAACACTCTGTTCTCTGCTCTGAGCATGAGCTGTGCAGAGGGCGGGGACTCTGAATCAGCCTGAAGTCTGGCCTCAGCCGCCAGGGCCCGGCTTTGTTTCCCGGTGCAGGGAGGCGTGGGCCCTCTGCCCTTTCCCTTCTCCTCTGGCTGGAGCGAGAGAAGCCGAGCATCTCCTCCCGTCCTCCTCAGACTCCTCATCCCATGCTGAGGCTGAGGCCAGGCTCGGGGACCTGCCAGCCCACCCACTGTGCCATGAATACCAGCTTGGAGAGCAAGAACAAACAGCGGCTCCTGCTGAGCACACAGCCATGCAAGGCTGCATGGGATCCTTCTGCAGTGGGTCCGGGTTCACAAACAAAGGGAAGTTAGGCTGCCAATCATGTTACACCACTAGAAAGTGGTGCGCCATGAGGCCCTGCTGCCTGACGCAGCTCCACTACTGGATAGACAATGGGGTTACTTGGCAGCCCCGACACCTGACTGCAGACATCTTGCCTGGTGACAGAAGGAAAGACAAAAGAGGGTGCTGACCTATGACCACAGAGGTGCCCCATAAAAGTTCCCAATCCAGACCAGAGGGGAAGGAGGAGATCAGATGGGCTGGGCTGCTGGGTGGTGTCCTCAGCAGTGTCCTCTAGGGGGCGCCCCTGACACAGCCTCTCCACCCAGCGCTGCCAGAGAGCCTGAGCCACCAACCAACCCAGCTGGGACATATTTTGGTTTAATTATAGCTCCTGGGCCAGAGAAAGAATTATTGTTCTGGTTATCAATAAAACAAAGGAGCTGCTATGTGTGACCCTCAAACACAATCCAGCTGTTTCTGGAGGCTCTTGAGGCTGTAATCCCAAAGGTCTCTCCCCACGGTCTGGGTCTAGTCACAACCTCTAATCAATGCAGTGGGGAACCCCCCCCCAGCAGTGGCTGAGAGGCTGGGGGATGGGAGGGCGGGAGGGGGGGGGGAAAGCAGCCAGGGGGCCAGGAAGCGGCTGTGAGATGGCGATAAGGAGGTATTTTTTACAAAGTGAAGTTGAAAAGACCTGGCTATAGTAGAAAGACACTCCACCCTCTTTAATAAGCTTCATTCACTATGACCTGGATAGCTTGGGGAGGCCGAGACCAGGTTCCTGGAGCAAAATGGGGGATTACAGGATGAGAGCCACCTAGCGGTCAACTTTCATGTGCTCTAAACAAGCCTATTACTCCCACTTCACAGAAAAGAAAGTAGAGGCACAGAGAGGTCACCTAACTCATCCAGTGTCACACCGTTAGGCTCAGCAGAAACAGGACTTAGAAGTAAGTGTCCAACTTGGAGCTAAGGAGAGAGAAAACCCACAAGGGCAGCTTCAAGCTGCAACGAGTGCTCAGACAGCACAGCCCATCATCCGTAAGCACAGCAGGCCGCCCTGCCCTCACCCCCCAGACTGCTCCAAACTGTCTGGAACTCCCAGGTCTAACTCCTGCCCTCTCCCCTGGAGCAGTCCTGCCTCGAATTCTCCACATTCTCTGCTTCTAGATCTGCAGAAGAGACCATTTAAAGATGGAGCCAAGACATACAGCAAACCCACCCAGAAAAACACAGGGTCATTTGCTTTGTTCCAAAGGTCAGGACGCCGAGCCCTCCGGTGGCCAAGCCTTTCCCTTCTCGTTGCGTTCAGGCCGCAGCTGTGTCATCTCTGGATGAAGAGTTGGGAACAAAGCCTGGGAGCAGGAGGGCTAGAAAAACACGGCGCCCTGCCCCTGACAAGAGCAATATTTACACAGGGTTGAGCCGGCCTGGAGCTCCAGCAAGAATAGCACTCGCGGCACAGAGCAGACACCCAAGCTTCTGAGGTGTGCAAACGGCCATGAGGCAGTGAGGAAGCTTCTGCTGGAGAAGGGCTGGGCCAGTGCCAGCCGGCAGGAGGGTCACATGGCTCTGGCCAGCCTGGGGGGCCCCAAGACCACCTCAGGGGCAGGGCTGGAGGCTTGCCTATGCTATACTGTCAGAACCCCAGTAAGCCCTCCATGGATCCCCAGGTCTCCCCTGTACCCCAGAAACCTCTATAAGCAGCTGGGACATGTGTCCTGGGTTAGCACACCCCACAAAGCAGGCAGGGGTACACGAGGGCAAGCAGCTGCTTAGGAAAGGGGTAAAGCTCAGGGGCTAAGGATTCAGGCTTCAAGGTCATCATGCCCTGCTTGATCCCTGGTTCTAGCTCTTCTAGTTGAATGACCCACCTCTGTGTCTCACTCTCCCCATTTGTACAGTGATCATCACCCAGGGCTCTCCGCAAAGGGTAAGCAGCTGGGCCAGCACGGGAGGAAGCCAACGTGAATGTACCTGGGAAGGCTGGCAGCACCAATGTCACCCTTCTCCTTGAGAGGGTGGGGTTCCCCAAGGCCTCTGCTTTGGCCAGACTCCCTGGTAGCTGGCCAGACACTCCTGAAGCAGGGTGGGGCTCATTGGCTACAAGGAAACTGGCTCTCTAGAGCTGGGTGCCAGGTGATCATGGCCACTCATCCCCTGGTGGTCTGCTCCATTCCACCCATCGTAGGGTAAAGGATGAAAGGGGCATGCAGGTGTGAGGCAGCTCCCAAAGAGAGTCCCAAGGAACTCCAAATGCAAGCCACGTGCATGCCTGGACTTGCCCTGCAGAGACGCCAAATTCCCACATTAGCATCCTCCAAAACAGAGACGCAGTGGACCGCAGCCATGTCTGTGCCCTAGCTGATTCGGCCGGAGCTTTAGGTTCAAGGCATGCACTCACAGCAGCCATTGAAAGGACAGCTCGGGGCTCTGACATGGAAAGTCCCTAAAGATGTCCACTCAAAGAAAGCAAGCTGCATCCTGGCCCGTTGATGCAATAAGAAGACTTCTGCAAAATCCAAGCCCTCAGAGTGTCTCTGTCTGCCGGTGGAGAAGCAGCTGGCCAACCTGGCCGAGAAGAGAGATGGGAAACAGGTGGAGGGAAAGGAGGCCTTTCTCAACCTGCGAGCAGTGTTTATTCCTATACGGCACACAGGAGTGCTGGGCTTCAGTTACCTACCACTCCCCTGCCCTTGTCTTCCCAGTCGGAAGGGCAAAGACTGGAACCACACTTGAAGAGATCCAAAAAGCAGTAGGAAATGTGGGTCAATCCAGCCTGTTCTCTGTGGGGAGCAGAGAACACAAGGAGGAGGAGGAGACAGCCGAGACAGGTCTTTGATGGTTTGTGGGAGACAGAGGACCAGAAAGAATAGATGAGAAGAAGAAGAGAGCTCCCAGGAGGCTTGCAAGATGCATTATGAGTTCTGTGCAGGCAAAGAAAACTCCCAGAATAAATGCCACTGGGCTGCGCCCGGCCACTAGGGAAGAGGAGGTTGGTGAAGGAAGGCCTGGGATCACAGCACACAGACCTGGCCACCAGGGGTCAAACCTCATCTCCCAAGTGGTTGGTTGGTAGGGGCCTCCACCTGGCTTTGCCTTGGAGCCAGCTCAGGTAAAGATGCCGGGCCGTGCTGTTACCTGTGGTGCCCCCCTCGAGGCCTGTGCCATAGGCAGACACCAGGGCAGGATTCCCCGCTTGTCCGGGCTCCCCGACGCGCACTTTGAAGGGGCTTCCAACCACGTGGCTCCTGTTGAACTTCACATCGATGGTGTGGACGCCGTTCTCGTGGGGGATGAAGCGCACGGCGTACTTGTCTGAGGAAAGGAGCAGAGGCCCAGGGTGAAACCAGGCGAACGGACAGCGAGGAGTTAGGTGAGGACAGAGGATCGCGGGCCAGCGCAAGCCTGGCACCGCAGGCATGGATTTCCAAACCAGCTGGGCTTCACTGTGTGTCCCTACTCACATCTCAAATTCCGCTTCCCACTCTTCCCCAGGGCCTCAGAACTTTCTTTATGAAGAGCTCGCTGCTCACAACATTTCCCTGTTTGGAAACTTGAAGGGGAACAAAATGGTTCCAGCTGGCATCCGAGCTCCTTTCCGAAGCTCAATGTGAGCGCCTGTTCTCCAAGGGCAGCAGCCAGGTTCTCTAGCGGTGTGTTCTGGGTCACAAGGAAGCAGGCACGTTGGCTGTCCGTGCTCTGTTTACCACGTGACCATGCCAGCCTAGGGGGCAGAGCCGTGCCCTCCTCCTCCTCCATCTCCTCCTCCTCACCAGCCTCTCAGCCCCTCCCTGCCTCCTTGGACCCCTCATCTCCTTCAGAAACTAAGACTTACACCCTCTCTTCAGGCTCTCTCTATAAAGTCATCTCAGTATTGCCCTTCCCCCTAAGTTGACTTCCCACCACCCCAAGCTGACTCCTCTCTTAAAGCCAATGTGCTTCAGGGAGGTAGAGCTCACCCTAACATCTAGGTGTGCTTCCTGGACATTGGCTGGGGGAAAATCTTTGTTTCCCTAAGCCTAAATCAGTGCAGGGCATTTCCTGAGCCACAGGAAGTGATTCTGGAACGGGCATATGTCCAAGTTCATTGAGATGGGATGCAAAGTTTTCCTGTTGACTGTGGTGTGAAGATGGAATATCAGGTGCTACTGCAGCTGTGTTGCCACCAAGAGGAAAGGCCAGCCTCAGACTAAGGCCCACAAAGCAGAAGAAAGAGTAAAGGCCTTGGCAAAGTGAATGTTCCAAAGTGACAAACAAATCAAATCCTTGCCAAAAAGCCTTCTTAGGCCCTAAGGTTTCTAGTCCTATGAATGACTAGTCCAATTCAGTTTAAGTTGGGTATTCAGTAATTAAAAACCCATAGCACTCTAATTGTGGAACACTGATGATCTTAGACAACAGAGATTCAAATACTGCATGAGGACACAAACACCAGCTTTACTTACTGCTGAGAACAATTAAAAAAACAACCACCACCACTGTGATGCCTCCTCCGAGATTCTCCTGACCTCACCAAGGCACGGCCTAGTTCTCTGCTGCTCTGACATATTCCCCATCGACTTCTCTGCAGTCCTGTGGCGGTTGCCTGTCTCCAGTTATTGTCCATTTCTGGCTTTGTTCTTGCTAGATTTGTGTTGTTTTGTTTGAGACAGGTTTTCTCAATAGGGCCCAAGCTAGCCTGGAATTCATGATCTTCCTCTGCCTCATCCTCCCCCATTGCTTGGATCACAGGTGTGTGCTGCCCTGAGCAGCTCTGTGAAGGCAGGAATCATGGGTTCTCCTGTCTCACCTTCCCGCCAAGTCTCTGACAAGTAATGCACGTCCAATGGCAGAATGGAGAACATGATCAAGTTTCTGGGTATCAAGAAAGGACTGGGAAAAAAAAAAATCTAGATTCTATCTGAGTGCTGGTAGTTAAAGCCTGTAATCCTAACTACTCAGGAGGCTGAGATCTGAGGATTGTGGTGTGAAGCTAGTTCAGGCAGAAAAGTCCGTGAGACTCTTATTTCCAATGAATCACCAGGGGGAAAAAAATGTAAAATCTAGATTCTATTTTTTTGGGGGGTGGGGGGTGGGGGTGGAGAAGGGTAGGTCATGGGACTTGAATTCAGGGCCTGTGCTGTCTCTGAACTCTTTTTGCTCAAGGCTAGGACTCTTCTAATCTTCCAGTGGTTCATTAAAATATGGTAGTCTCAAGGACTTTCCTGCCTAGGTGGGCTTCAAACCATGATCCTCAGAGCTCAGCCTCCTGAGTAGCTAGGATTCCAGTTGTGAGCTACTAGCACTCAGCTCTAGATTCTATTTTTACAGGTGAACAACTAGCTGCCTTTCTCTCAGACTACATAAAGTAAGATCAAAATGGACCTAGTTATGTCATAAAGTCAATAATGTAATAAAAACCTGAGATAAATGCAGCGAGGAATGTATGCAAAAGGAAAAACTAACAGAAAGTAAGGCAGAAATAAAAAGAGGAGAAGGGGGCGGGGGAGGAGGAGCAGCATTGTATGTCCAAGTTCAGAGGCGCCATATTCCAGGCAAACATCTCTCTCCTAATTGATAAACAGTGTGTGGCAGCACGCTCACTGGCACTCGTGAGTGCCTCCCCTGGGAGGCACAGCTGCGGGAAGTTCTGCCGGAAGTGCTGGTGCTGGCCCCGCCACACTCCCACACCGGCCCGTGCTTACCAGGCTCCAGCTCAGACACATGGCATTCCTCCACAGCTCCTGAGGGGCTATGCACCTTTGCGTCGATCTTGCCCTTTGCGCCATTCAACCTTATAGCAAAGGATGCTGGCTGGTTCACTTTTAATCCCGATTCCTGAGAATTCAATGTATTAGACAGGTTATGGCGCTTGGTGTTCCCGTCCAGTGCCAAACACTGACTGGGCCTGGGAGTCTGGGGTCCCATTGCACATTCCCAGTACAAAATATATGCATGTCTGCACAGACAGACTCATCTGCAGTTGTATTCTCAAACGACCATGACTCAGACAAAAAGATAGGGCTGGAGACTTGAGATACTCAAGTCAAGAGGGTTAGAGTCAGAGCTTCTCAAATAAGATCCATGCAGGCTAGAAAAAACAGGTGAAAAACTACAAGCCCAGTTTTATGAGGTGTTGTAGTCAGGACTATGAAGTCACTACATTCACCACACACACATTACTGTTGTCCAATCTCAAGGATAGCAATGGACAAAACTTCAAATATAACAAGCTTTGCATGCAAGGCTAGATCTTGGTTTACTACTGCTTCTTAGAACTAAAACTAAGTTGTTGCTGGGAGCTGTGGCTCACGTCTGTAATCCTAGCTACTCAGGAGGCTAAGACCTAAGGATCCCAGTGTAAAGTCAGCCCAGCCATACAAATCTGACAATCTATAATTTAACCAGCAAAAAGTTACAAGTGGAGGTGTGGCTCAAGCGGGAGAGCATCAGTCTCGATTGAAAAAGCCAAGGGAGACAACCCAGAGTATAAGGCCCTGAGTTCAAGACTCAGTGTTGGCACAGAAACACGCAAAAAAAAAAAATGAATCCCTGAGTCTCAGTTTCCACATCCGTAAAATCGAAGTCATAAGGGAATCTATCTTAGAGGCCAAAGGAAATTGCGCAAGTGAAACAGACTACAGCCTGACTCATAAAGAGTCGCAAAATGCCAGTTTACTGTCAAGAATTTATATGCTTTTTGGGGATGGGAAGGTGGCTCAATGGTAGAGCGCTTGCCTTGCATGCCTGAGGCCCTGGGTTCAATTCCTCAGCACCACATAAGCAAAAAGAAAAAAGCCAAAGTGGCGCTGTGGCTCAAGTGGTAGAGCGCTAGCCTTGAGCTGAAGAGCTGAGGGACAGCGCCCAGGCCCAGCGTTCAGGCCCCATGACCGGA